AATCATAAATAGTTCCTTTCTGTACAGAAACACTATAAGACACTGCATCTGTGGAAGAAGTTCTTTCCACGTATTTATTTTTGTTTGAACACCTGAATTTCACGTAGGCTATGTAGGAACCTAACATCTTGGTTTAATAGTGGGTCGCAACCAGCGTTTCTGGCCCATACCGCCACCTACTGTACTAGAGTGTGTATACTACACACACATGGTATGACCACTGACTTTTTGATTTATAACGCAGCCTACTCCTTACATCTTGATGTGCGATTCCTTTTTCTATTTCAACTGATGCAAAAAGTCACACATTTGCTTTGATGTTTAACTAATGCACATCGTTACATCCCGAGTCATAATCATGCTGTTGTGCTCTGCCTGATTCTCCCACTGTCAACCTGTTTTTGGGCCACAGCCCCGGAACCCTAACAGCTTCAAATTCGTCATTCCGGAGAAACGTCTGTGGTCGCCGCAGCTTCCACCAGCACGCTCTGACAGAGGGCAGTGAATCTACGAGTTCGGATTCTCAACTATTCCGTCTTCCTCCAAAACACTACCTGGAGAAAAGTGAGTCTTCTTTCTGATTCCTGCTTTTCCCAGTGTACAAACACTAGTTGTTCCATCATCCCTCCCTGACATCCATCCATAAACTTTAGATCACACCAAGAAACGACATCTATTCCTGCTTTTAGAATATATTCACTGTCCTAGCCCTATCAGAGCAGTGTCACCCTTAACCTGACTCCAGCTAACCTTCACCCTGTAACCTATGGTAAAATAGGCTCAACAGTGCAGATTAACATATGTGCTTTTGCTTAGCTTTAGTTCTGGACTCATTCCTTTGTCAACACGATGACATCATGCCATTGTTTTTCTTCCGGAGCCCTCATATTTTGAAGAGTTCTCTTGAAAGACTCTTCATTTAGACACTCTGCTGAGACCCCCTAAAGACCTTAGTTTGCAAGCAGTGTGGGTTACAGCCCATGCTGTGTACGCACGTGCTAATACAAAATAGATGCCTCGAGCTTAAACAGGAACACTGTGTAGACATGTAGACGTGGGCCTAGATGAAGTATCAATGAATTAGGTAACAAAGGCTCCTGCTAAACCCAACAGTATTAATGAAGTTAGCACTTGGAATAACACACACACACACACACACACACACACACACACAAAGACAGACCACGTGTAACAAATTAAAAGACAAAGTGTCTGATGTTTCAGACATACTACACATGAGTTTTTTTCTCAGGGTTAGTTGAAGGTCAAGGTCAGAGGTCACTGGTTCACCTGTATGTGTTCTGTGTAAACGTGAGGAAAGTAAATAAAGAATCTTACAGGAGTTTACAGCAGAGACATTAACATACTGTTTCTATAATTAATCTGCCAAAGTGAACGTTTGAGGGTTTTATTTCCTGCTGTTAAATGATAACATTCTGAATTTATTACATTTCCAAACTGGTAAACTACTTGCTGATGGTGGAAAGTGGCGAAACTCTCTCCCTCTTTATTTGTGGTCGACTACATTCCGGTGACGCTCCGTTCATACGCCCACTTTATCCTGTTCTCCCATCTAATGGTCAAAGACGTGTTTTTGATGATTATTATTTAGCATTTCTTTACTTTTCTAGACTTTTCTTCCTTCTATCAGTTTTTATGGAACCTGTTGTAGACTTTAAAAGTCAATGAATTCATATTTGACCCAATAAAATCCATCAGTCTGAACACTGAATATCTTGTCTTCTTTTCTTTAATCAATCGCATGAAGGTAGTAAAGGACTGATTTTATTTTCGATTTTCCATTTCGTCACAACTTTAGTGAAATTACGGTGAGTACAAAGATCGGCGCAAAAAGTACACAGAAAGAAATGTCACTTTCCCTGAGCTGAATTAAATGCACAATACGTTGAACACAACCTCTTTGTCTTGTGTTGTGTGTCATGCATCAAGGAGCACATGACTTAAATTGGGTGTGGTGCATGACCTGTTATCAGACAAAGCATCCCACAGCCAGAGCTGACGGAGGACTCCCTGCCTCCCCATCCTGTCTGTCACGAGGTCTCAATTCTGTTCGCCACACAGCGTCTCATGCTTTAAAGTCCATAAAACATTGGAGCTAAAAATCCCCTTCTTTAAAACATGCAGGCCTGGCTGCATGCTGTCAATAAATCAGCGGCCTAGCTCGAGGAAAAGGGGCATAAAGAGAGGCAACTTTAAGAGTCACGGAGTGAAGTGTTTTAGTGGTTTTTGTTGATCCTATAAATAATACACTTACAGGTCTTCGTGTTCTACAGTCAAACAAAATGCTCTGTGTAATATCTTCCATTTGGACTAGGCTTTGGGGCGATAAATAAAAACATCCATTTATGAAAATGTATTTTTCTCCTTAAAGTACATTTTAATTAATGTATTTAGTATGTTGTCCTATTAGCAAACATATATACATTAAAAGCTACATATCACATTTCCCCTCCTTGAAAAAAGAATGTACGGAATTTCTATTTTCATATTTTGCATGTTGGTTTTTAAATCCCGTTAATTTCAATAATGATGAGCTTCTTAGAAATAAAAGAAAAAAAAGATGAGCACAAAGCAGAGGCTTAGCTTAATCGCCAGTGTGAAATCAAGTTAGGCATGAAGACACGGTAAGGATATGAACTACAGTTGTGTCCCAGTGTGAAGGCACCCTCACATCACAAGGTTGCCTGGCAGTAACACTGTTGCCCCCAGGCTTCTGTTCCACGGCCATTTTCAAATGAAAAGAATCCACTCACACAAGGTTAGTGTTTATATCCACGGTGGAACTGCTGCCTACAGAGGCTGAACTGAATGTTCTACATGAAAACTAGTGAAGAAGTTTAAAAGCATCATGACTAATCCAGTGAATCCAGTCGGTCAGGCTGAATGGATGGATTGACTAATAGAATGTATATAAAGACAGAGCCAGAAAACACCCATCAATATTGACCTGTCATTCACTATCATGAAGGGGTACATACACTACTGTATATACCACATTGTCAGGGGCGTCAGTGGTGAGGGTGGAGCAATTTAACAAAAAAACAAGACGACGTCTGATACTGAAAATGTAGCTGCCAGGAAGGACAGACGGGAATAAAAAGGTCTGACTCATGTAAAACTACTCGTGTACTAGAAATGTGTTTTGTGTATTTACTCAAAGTACTTTTTAATATTGAATATACCCGATCTCACTTATTGTGTTAGCAACCGCAGCAGGAGAACCTGTGAAAGATTTCAGAAAACATTCAACGAAACATAGTTCGGACTAAATCACAGAGTTGTTGATCCAACACACTGACCTGCATGGACAATAAAGGACTAATTACTGGAATGGTTAACTTACACTTTATATTTATGTGCGTATATTTTAGTGAATATACAGCAAAATAAAATATATAATATATAAAATAATATATATGTAGATATATATATATACACATACATACATATACATAAACATATATACATATACAGTATACACATATATACAAATATACTCATATATATACATATATATAGTATTCGATTTTGACCAAAACAAATATGACAAAGTATTTCAACATAAACTCGAAACGAAACTTATTGTGTGTTTTATTAACCCCTCACAATCTGCGCAGAGAAATCCCTGATCTTACATCATGAAAGGAGCTGGTCATCCACATAAGTTTAAAATTTGTGCGAATAAAAACATAAATCAAATTCTTGATCTGTTGCTGTCGAACAAAAGTACCAAGAAAACGATCTTCATTAGGTTCAGTCAAAGACTCAAAAAGCCTACATCCTTGAGCCCCACCCTGGAACAGCATCAGAAGTCCTGCCTCCGAGCCTGCGATCCACACCCTGGGGCTGCATTGGAGGAACTGCTTACACTGTCTAGTGGGACTAGTCTAAGATTTGCAATCGTGCAGGCACGCCTTTTCTGTGCTGCATTTATTTCAGATACACAACAGAGACAGAGGTTTGCAGAAACACAGCAGAGGCACAATGGCAGATGAACTCACACGTTGGGTTCTTAAAGCAGCCTGTCAGAGGCGTTGTTAAATGGCCCTACGTATCTCAAATGCTCACATTTTCTTTACTTTAGCATCGGTAAGTACACACAGCTGCTAGTGTCCAGTGAAGTGAACAATGCTGGCAGCTCCACACCTACAGCACAAGGGACACATTAAGAGAAATAGTGGGAGGACCTGGCCCACTCACTCTACAGGCCAGCATGTAATGCGTATGTGTGTTCGTGCATGTGTGGGGGTGGCTAAATGTGTCTGCATGATGTTTATAGTGACTCCTTCGAGTGGGATGAAAACCTTATTGGAAGTCGCAGAGACCACGGCCTGTCTGCAGAGTAGACCAAACAGTCCTGTTCTAAGAATCTCTCCTGTTAACTGTGTGGACCTATAAGCAGCAGGTTCGACGGCTCGCAGTTCATTCTGACCAGGGTCTGTGTCTCAAGTCAATAGCACCTAGCTCTAGGAGAACAAACAAACTGAAACCAATCTACACATCAATCCTGTCTGCATACGTTGAAAACGTATACACCATCCCAACATGTGCCATGGTTTTGATGATCATTTAGAGGCAAGGCAACAAACAGTTGTCAGAGAACGAACCTTGGCATCCAACTTGCTTTTGCAAGAGTGCAATATCTCTGGTTTCAACAGCAATCACTGGGACCTACGGTGACATATGACCCCGACACTGCAGTTGGTCACTGGTATGGTTGGCTGTGAACACACACACATGGAAACATTTGCACACACAAGAGGACTTCTTACTCCTTTTTCACTTAGTCACCCAGTGAGCACTCCCTCTTAGCACTTCCATTTTTTTTCTCTGATGGCCATTACGAGCAGCAGACGTTTTTGCCATCCCTCTCCTAAAATAGCTACCAGTTAGCACAGGCAGATGGTTTTGAGACATCAATGGCAAAGAGTACTGGGGTGAAGAAGTGTTGGAGCACAGACTGCCCGACCACTTGACTACTCCGAGGTGGTCATGGTGGTCATGGTGGGTAAAAAAAAAAAAAAAACACTGTTTGTTTGAGTAGATGAACATTTGTTGTAAAATATTAAAAAGTGTAATTTATAGTCAAATAATTAAGACAAGTTTTTTTTTTATTTCATCAGTGTCTAATTATTTCCTGTTCTACAAACATTTAGAAAACATTTTCATTGCTTTACCACATTTTCGACCAACGGCGTTCCATGGTTATGAAATGTATTAAGAAAGTTTGGTTCCATTTTTCTGACGTACGGCACACAAACTCATTTCGCAGGGGACAAATACGTCATCACACAAAGCTATACGTGAAGACTACTTCATTTTATACCAAAAGAAATACAGCTACATTTCAGATAATGTTCACACAGAACAGTACTTTTCAGTCAAATCTATTGTATGTCCCTATAATGTAAGTCCTTTTTCTTTTTTTCTTTTTTACACATAATTGTAGTTTGGTTTAAATGTATAAAATGCTCAATTCCTCCTGTTTCTGTTACAGTTTAAACAACATTTACTCTGGATGACCTGAAAATCTCCCCAATAAATAAAATAAACAATGACAAAGACAGAAAACAGTCAGTGATTTCTATAGGGTCACACAGTAAATAGTTACTTCAAAATATATTTATTATATCATTAATTCCCCTTGTCCTTATTTTTCAGTCATGCTGCTCAGGGATCAATCACGCCCCCTGTGGAATGTACAGAAACATTAGAAACTGTGTTCTATTTACTGTATATAATGCAGCACAACTGGTTACTTTAGAAAAAAAATCTAAAATGGCTTAAAAAAAGCCTCAGGGGAAAAAGAAGCTGTTAATAAAGCCTTTGTAAACAAGCAAACAGTGGTTTCCAAGAAACATAACTCCAGTGAATTCACAGAGTAATGAGAACCATGTCTAAAGTGTTTATCAGCTTCAACACAATTCTGCAGATAAAACTAATGGGGCGGGGGCCGGGGGGTGAACAGTCACATGGACCATCTGGTTGGACTGGTGTTCTGCTGAAGACACTTTTGACACATGCACAGTGTGTTGGCTACAGGTTGAGATTATCTGTATGCATTGGTGTGGTAGGTAAGGTGAAGCCAACGCCTGACTTATCAACGAACCAACTTCAAACCATGTCAGCTCTTTTCCTTTAGTGACTCTTATCTCTCTGTCTGTCCCATTAGGGACAAACCAGGGCTAGAAGACAGTGGGTCATGTTAAAACATAAAGTCCTATTCAAACACACACACACACACACAGACAGAGCTGCTGGTGAACCCTCCCCACCATCCTGCCGGCAGCACACTCACACCACCTCACCATGAGTGCACACACACTAGGTCCAGTTACAGAGTTTGATCTGAAAGACTTGTGTATAGACAGACGTTCATTCAAGTCACAGTAAACATCTCCAGGACTGTCCTTCCCTGAATTATTTTTAGCCGTGTCCTTCTGAGTGTGAGTTATCATTTTTGTAAGTGAAACCAGGATTCATGGAGCTTTGGTCCTCTGGGAAACCACTCTCAACCAAGGTTACAGTAGTTTTCACTTTTTCATTACATTATATTTTATATTAATAGATTTCTCTGTGAAACCCCTGCTGTCAGAACAGACTTTGTATGTTTACTGTTGAACTAGGATAGTGGATCTCCATTTACTGCCTGGAATTTTTTTTAATGTAGTTTATGAAAATGTTAAATACATGTATGTTGTGTAAAATGTGAGCAAATATTTTTGGTCTGTAAAAAAATGTTTTTTTTTTGGATCATCAGGCATGATAACTTATATTTATTATGTTATTTTATTAGTTGTTAAATGTACTTGAATAAGGTTTAACTTTATAAATTATATGTCATGTTTATTGTAGCATTTTTACCAAGAGATTCATTGATGATTTTGTTTTGACTTCTTTTGCAATATTTGAATATTATACTTTCAGTTATCGTAGGGAATGATTCAAAGGTTGTAAGGTATGAAGGAAATAAAATAAGTTAAAATATCACATTTTCTTTCCATTGTGTACAATAATGGTGTGTGTTTGGTGAATCACACTGTTACGACTGTGTTAGTTTGACGTGGAGAAAAAGTAAAACATTTCTACTGGATTTAACAAACCGCTGTATATTAACACAATTGATTGTCTGAAATAGCACAGAGTGGGATTAAAATAAAATCAGACCACAGTGCTGAACTCCCTTGGGTCACGAGCTATCTGGATCCATGAATCTTGGGACAAAACATATCCACAAACACAGAAAGAGAGCAATCAGAACCAGTGGACCGAGCACACACAGAAGCAGGGTTAGATAAACACATCCAGAGCTTCGGTGCTTTCACCTTCTCACGTACGCTGATTTAACAGCTCACACAGTAACTTGGCAGTCATGCTCTTTGCCTCACACTTGGTCGAAGCATCTGTGTTGCACAAGTTCTTTAACTAATTAATTACTAGTACAGGCGTGGGCAAACCTTTTGACCCACGGCCCACAATTGTCTTAAACAGAACAGGGGGAGTGTTTGTGTGAATTAAGATAAATGACATGTAAAAGTCATGCACAAAGGCTAAAATGCTTTTATCATTTTCTACGCCATCTATTGGGGAAACATGGGTATTGCAGCGAAAAGGCAGAAGTATAATGATAATATAAATACATTATATAATTTGGAAAATTTGGCAGGCTGGATGAAAAAGCTGAATGGGCCGCATCTAGCCCCCGGGCCTTAGTTTGCCCATGCCTGTACTAGTATGTAGTATGGAGCTATAATACTGTATTTCACATGTAAATCTATGTTATATAAGCTGCAACCTGAACTAATAAAAAAAAAGGTCAGGGTTTTAAATTATTACATAGATAAGATACAACTCGCAAAAATGTTTGCCTACTGACGTCCATTTAAACTTCTATTTATTCAAACAATCCTTTTAGTCTGTTTTATTTTTTTTTACATGACTTTTTTTCCAATGTGAAAATGACATTGACATTTCTATTGGTAAACCGCAGCTTTATTTCTGTAGAACAGAATAGCAGCTGTGACATAAAAAAAGGGCTAACCTACGATTTTATTTATTTTTTTATAGTGCAACGTTGAGGCAAATCCTTGTCTGCAGCTCACAACACTTGAACTTGTATTTTGACATGTGATGCAACTTGCAAATCATGAATATCACTTCTTTGAATTTAGTACAATAACAGTTGAGAGAATTGCAAAATCATGTCACAACAATAATGCTCGCGAAAAAACAGGGAGCAGGTATAGTGGGGTCATTTTTTTAAGGCTTGGCAGTTTGACAGATTACAGCCGTGTTAGTTTCAGAACCAACTAAACTTCTACAGAAAATGTAAATTTGGAAGGTTTGAATTTTAGTTGTGGAACGTTCTTCCGTTTTAGTACATGATTTAATAACAAGTTAAGTTTTGAGCTACTGTTCACAGCTAATGTGAACCAACCTATTGACGTGGAGGTGTGGTAAAGAAAACAAAGTATTGACATGAATCTACCAACTACCGAATCTATCTACGTTCAGTAGTTGGTACTTTATTGAGTAATTTAAACTATTATAATAATAAAACTATTATAAAGCCTTTTTCCAAACATTGGTCAGACCTGGTGGTAACAACACAGCCTGCAAATAAACTAATTACATGTAATAATAACAAAATCTTATCAATCTAATCAAGTTATGCATTATTAACCTAAACTATAACCTAATTATGAGGACTTTTATTCTCATAATTTAAGAAAAATAAAATAAAGAATACTTAGATCATTGATTTTAAATAAAGAATAAAACAAACATCTGAGTGAAAAAAATAAATCCCTACTTTGTGGTTCAATTTTTTTATTATGGTTTCAAGGATGATAATGTCTATTTTGGGGTTTCAACACAAACCAATTTAATTCTATTTTGTGTTTTTATATCTTTACCTTTGTACTGCTGCACCGTAAATTAAATAAAAAAAAACAGAAAAACATCATAGTAATGCAATGTAACAATTAAGGTTACAATTTTATCACATTGTAAACTTAGGATTTGTATCAATAAAAAGCAGTTAATTTTTTTTTAAATGGCTGCTTTCTTACTGGTCGGAAGTCACATTTGCAATCGTTTATAAAATAAAAAAAAAATTTATTCCAAAAAATGAATTTAATATGTAGATGACATTTATAGCCAATGTAAAGTATACTTGTGAATATAGACATCAGTATGTCAGAAAAGCATTTAAATTTACAGCTATTTAATAAAGAACAGACTTTATAAATTAGTGTGGATCTGACTTTAGTCCCATCAGCAAAACTTTATTTACAGAAACAGTGGTGCAAACCTCTGGCAGCATGGCTCGTAGCTGGGTCTCACACACACACATGCACACTGACATACACACAAATATGTTATCAATCATGAAGCCATACTGTCAACAAACATCTCTAACATTTATTCATGTATTTAACTGAGGCATCTGAAACAAATTAGGATCTCAATTCCAGCCAATTTCCTCTAAAGGAATCTTCTGTTGATTTCATTTTGTTTTCATCAGTGTATAGTGTGTGCGCTTCGGTGCTTGGAGCCAGGCCAAGCACATTTTTCTGAGTCATCAGAGAGGACAGAGTGAGAGGGGAGGAAGAGGAGTAGGAGGAGGAGGAGAAGTACAGGGTAAAGGGAAAGCAGTAGGTGGGAAATCCAGAGTTTCCGTCGTGCTCTGTTTCAGTCGAAGGCCCACACCAAGAATCAACAGGCCGAGAAAACCATTTATTGTTTCAGGCCTGCTAGCAATATGTACCTTCCTGTAACTCAGCAAAACAACGGAGGCAAATGTGCCAAAACACAGCTCACAGAGACAACAGTGCCAACAAGCCGCTGTGTAACAGCCCAACAGAATACTTACAAAACTATTTTGAAAAGTCATCTCTTCATTGTCCTGCTCCACACACGTATAGAGATATCGTTAGCCTCCGCACTCTGTCGCACAATTTAGCTACTCCATGTCGTGAAGACCTCTTCACATGGTAACTATCTAGACCAGGGGCGTCCACACTAGTTTGGGGTGGGTGGGGGTGGGGGGGGCTACTATTCAAATGACCAGGTTAAAGTGATCGACCTACGTTGAAAATCGGGGCTGCAACGATATATCGGATGAATACTGGTATTGGCCGATCTTCCCAATGGGAAATTGACACAGATGATTAACAGATGGTAAATTATAAATTCATTATATCTTGTCTGATCTTTGTACGTCCTAAATCAGGGGTGTCAAACTCATTTTGGTTTACGGGCCGCATATAACCTAATTAGATGTCAGGTGGGCCGGACCAGTACAATCATAACAACTATAATCACCTATAATTAATGTTTAATTATAGTCTGCGTTTGTCTACTTTTCCCAACAAGTACAATTATATTTGATATTTATTATTATTTGTTTATATGTAATGAAATATAATTTCACAAAACATATCCTGAACATGAAGCGTTTCTGTATTTTGTTATTTTCAATATTCATCAAGGGGGCCAGTTTTGGCCCCCGGGCCATATGTTTGACACCACTGCCCTAGATCATGTTGTTATGGTGGTGCTAGCGTAGGTGATTGACATACTGTAGGTACTTCCGTACAGCATGTGAGTTCCAAATTCTATAAACCAACTATAAAAACTGCTGAAGTTATCTATCAATAATTAAATAGAAAATGACATCATCGTCGTG